CTTTTGGATGTCCGGACAATTTAGTGATTGTATCTGATCGCCACTTGAGCATAAAGTCTGCTATGGAGGTTGTCTACCCTGAAGCCGTACATGCCATATGTTCGTACCACCTACGATAAAATATTCGAAGTCACAGTAGTAAAGCCGTTGGTTTATATATGAAAGCTGCATACACTTATTCCCCTGTTGTGTACGAAAAGTCGATGGCCATGCTTGCGGCAAAACATCATGAAATATTGAAGGTTTTGATTGATGAAGCCAATCCAACTAGGTGGGCACAGAGTCAATGTCCTGTGAGACGATATAGTTTCATGACGTCAAATGCTTGTGAGGTGCTTAACAATAGGTTGCGTTGGGCAAGGAAATTGCAGGTTTGCTCATTGTTTGAATGTATTCAAAACATTATGCAAGAGTGGTTTCACAAAAGATGTGTCGAGGCAGAAAACACAGAGTGTGAAGTTCCTCCATCAATATCTAAGCGTTTGATGGATTATAAAACAGAAGCAGACCAAATGGAAGCTTCAAATATCAATCACTACGTTTACCACGTGAAGGATGGGGTTAAGAATTTTGTCGTCAATATGAAGGATCGGACTTGCACTTGTTATCTCTTTCAGGTCGATTTATTGCCCTGTTCACATGCGATTAAGGCTATCGGTTAATTTTTTCATTATTATTTGTATTTAATAAAAGCCTCAATGTTTACTTATTGTTATCTTACCTGAAAATGTTATATTGTGTTCCATTATTTTGTTTTCTATGCATGTACCATTTTTAGGAAGGCAAACCAATCGGTGTATGGATATGTGCACGACTACTACAAGACCACAACATGGTGCAAACTTTACGAGCCCATAATCATGCCAATTGCGCATCCAAGTACTTGGGACTTAACTACAGCGACTAGTTTGATGGTTGTCAAATGTCCTTTTGATCCCAAGAAAGCCGGAAGACCGAGGTCAAACCGCATGCCTTCTACTGGCCCTTCTTCGAGCTCTCGAAGTAAATCATTTTGTACACGATGCCGCGAAAGTGGGCATTACTCTACAACTTGTGTTGCGTTTGTCCATAATTTTGAGCAACCAACTCAATCTGGACGTACCAGTACTAAAGTTTGTTTGTGTGATAAATGTAAACAACCCGGCCATCGTAGGAACAAGTGTCCTCAAAACATTACCTAGTGGTTTTGATTTTTTTTTTTTTATTTGTGGTTTTTTATTGATCGTAAATGAATGTTATTTGTATGGATAAATTTATTTGTGTTGTTTGTCATATTTTGGCCCCGGCATTAAACCGAGCATCTATTTTTGAAAATATATAAAAAAAAACAAAAACAAAATAACGATGTAGCCGCGGTTGACCTTCGAGCCGCGGTTGATGTACCCATTCGGCCAACTGCAATTGACTCTTCAACCGGAGTTGGAAATTTTTCTCAAAATAACGATGTGAGCCGCGGTTGACCTTCGAGCTGTGGTTGAGGTAGTGTTTCAGCCAACCGCAGTTGACTCATCAACCGAATTTGAAAATTTTCTTCAACCGGAGTTGACATGTCAACCAGCTGTGAGATGGTAATTTGAACTTCAAACATGAATGAAAAATTTGAGTTGCAGTTGAACTTTGAGCCGCGGTTGATGTACCCATTCGGCCAACCAGAGTTGAAAATTTTTCTCAACCAGAACATGTCAACCGGCTGCGAGATGGTTGTTTGAACTTCAAACATGAATAAAAAGAAACAAAACTAACAGTAAATTTCATCAACCGGTTCATGTTTCACATGTTCCATAACCATCAAAACAATCAAAATAAACAAAAACTAATAGTAAATTGTCATAGCATTTTATAGTCCAAAAAAATGAAAAAGAAACATAAGAACTTTCACTGTGGATGAGTGGATGAAGAGGGATTGTCGGATCCCATGGATCGAGTAATGGCCAATGAATCGAAACAAGCATCAATTTTATCTAATCGAGCATCAATTGCATCTAACCGTGTCCGCACATATCCCTCAAATGATGTCAATTGATTGAAAATTCTTTCCATCCAATCCAATTGTGTGAAACTTGTGTCGGCACCATCCCCGCCGTGTGTGTTGGTCCCATTTTTCTGTCTTTATTTCATGTTTATTTTCTTTTTGTTTTCCCCCATTTGTAGGTTTTTCGTTGTTTATTTGGTCCATTTTGTTCGTTTTGTGTTTTTCTCTTTAGTTTATATTTGTTTGTCTTTTTGCCGTGTTTTTCTTTGTTTTCGTGTTTTCTGGAGATCGGTTGTACTGGTCGAGTTAGGATTGCGTGAGCCGAGACTGTGATATCGAGAATACCCATTGTCGAGCCCAGAAGACTCGAGGAAGGACTGAAAAAACGGACAGAAACGGTTCCCAGAAAATTTCGCAACTCGCGGAAAAAACTGGGGCTTAAGAGGATTTCCGAAGAACGAATCGCGACTCGCGAGAAGATGTCACGACTCGCGAGTTATGTCGCGACTAGACCCCAGGAATTGAACATTTTGACGATGCGCGACTCGCGAAGGAGTCGCGACTCGCGACCGGGAAGAAGGTGAAGTCGCGACTCGCGACTTTTCTGCGCGAATTTTGAGGAGCGGGATTTTAACATCAAATTTTGATCCTAGGGTTCATTATTCAACTTTCAAACTTTATTTTTACACTTTTTCTCTGGAGAAACTCATTCCTTTTCATACTTTTGCACTTTTGATTTGTTTTGGAGATTGAAAAACTCTTATTTCTTGCTTTAGATTTGGATGCACTTGGATTTGACGTTGGATTCTTTATATTAATCGTAAGTTCTTTTTCTCAATTTCTTTGTTGATGATGATGACTTGGGTTTATATGAATGTTGATGTTAAATTCGTTATGAGTAGCTAAATCCATTCTAGGGATATGGGATGATTGATTAGGTTCGATAATGATGAATGCTTTTGATTGTTCATGTCTATTCGAGTTGTGTGAATTATAGGGTTAGTAGATTGATCACCTTTCTAACCTAAATAATCAACGTGTAGAACCGAGAGGGGAGACATTGATCGAATTTGGCTCGTTTAGAATAGATTTGTTCGAAAACGTATTATCTATGTGTTGTTGGAATTGATAGTTGATCGTTTTTTCACTCTCTTGTTACGAAGAGTTATTGAGAGTGAACCTCTGAACGAGAAACGATTCAAGTCCTTTAACCGAGCAATTGATTGCCGGTAATTGTGATAGAACCAAAAGCAATTATCCCCGATTCCCTAGCACTTTAATCATTCAGTAAATTCATTTGCTATTTTAACCTTCATTTTATTTAGTTTAAATCAGTAGTTGATAATTGAAACCCAAAGAATATTGAATTAGAATGTTTAGGAATTTGTCTTTTCTTTTTCGTGATTGAATAAACGCACAAGAATATCCGGCTAACCTTCCTTGCGATACGACCAGGGGACGAATCTTTCAATTCTACTCCGGTAAAAATACTGACAACAGTGTGCTTCAATAAACAGTCAAGAAGGAGGATTTGTTAGGATGAGTACTACCATCCGTGCTCTGAAGCCATCGATTGAACAATTATATTGGTCCTTCCGATATTCTGGAATATCCACAGCGTAACTATCCATTTCCAAGCACACGTGGACTCCACAGTCCTTATCCCCGTTCTGTGCCCTTCTGCATCCATATGAAAAATGCTCGGTTGGATGAATGTCTAATTCAGCTTTCCAATTCAAATATCCCACGAGGAACTTGGCCTACCAAAAAAAAAAAAAAAAATATACTTGACTAGTTTATTCGAAAAAAAAATAATAATAAATACAAAAACAATGTTTAATATGTCAATAACACTTACCAAAGTTTTCCCAATTCCAGCATAAATGGAACCATCCAACGAGTTATGATACACAAATTTCTTTTCTTGAACGTCTAAGACGAGCAAGAAAAAGTGAAATTTCACGAGAATGGGGGAGAACACAAACTTAGCACCAGAGATGTCCCCAATGAGCTCACCTAGCATGGCAACAGTATTTCTACTCAGCGTTGAAGTACACACCTCATAGTCTTCCTTGTCCCATTTTGTTCTTTTTTTCATATTTTTCACGGCATTCAAAACATCAGTCTACAAAATAAATCATATTTTTTTAGGAAATTAAGAATACTATTTTTAGGAAATTAATAAAAGTAAAAATAATAGAGTTTATTAAGATAATGTACTTGAACATAGATAGGCAAAAAGCGGACATGTGGATGACGAGCGTGCAAGATCATCATAAAGCAATAGATGAGTTCGGAACTCAACTCGTTCCCGAACAACAGTTCAATCATTGACTTTCCTCGGAGTTGCACTCGATCGTTGCTCCATACAATTTTCTACCAAAATTTGCAATTCTAATTAGTATAATATAACAAAAATGAAACAGTTAAGAAACTGAGGTAATTTATGTTACCTCACGCGATCGCTGGTCAGGAATGATCGGATGGCTGCACGAACGTCTTTCTGCACGGACTTGTGGCCACAAAAGGCTTCTCTTCCTCTGAAGTCATTCAGAAAAGACTCCTCATCATCATTGTCCTACATTACAAAATAATAATTGGTTAGTTATATGAAAACAACATGAAAAATCATCCAATCTTTACATATATAAATTGATAGTTTACTTACGACATCACTATTTACGTCAAACAACTGGACTTTTTTCTCTTTCTTCTGTCTCTTCGGAGTGGATGACGGGGGAGTCATAAAATCGGCCGACTTTTCTTTTTTCTTCCTCCCCCGCCTCTGTCGCACCCTCTTCACCATGTAGGAGGCCGGTTGCTTCTCCTTTGGTGGTGACTTTTCCTTTTTCTTCCTCCCCTTCCTCTCCCGCACCCTCTTCACCATGGAGGAGGTCGGTTGCTTCTCTTCTTTCTCCTCCTCTTCTTTCTCACCCTCATTCTCCTTCTCTTCTTCCTCCTCCTCATCCTTCTTTTCCTCTTCCTCCTCTTTCTCCTCCTCTTCTTTTTTCTCCTCTTCTTTCTCAACCTCGTTCTCCTTCTCTTCTACCTCCTCCTCATCCTTCTTTTCCTCTTCCTTCCCTTCTTCCTCTTCCTTCTTTTCTTCCTTCGCTTCTCTCTTAGCCTCGTTATCAACCACCTAAGAGTTTTTGGAATAAAAAACAAAGAATAAAAAAATTTTAACTTTCGAAAAATGTCAAAAGGGACACGTGAAATGTAAATGTTAAAAAATAACCCGTGACCAAAATTTGGAGTGGATGGACTCTCAGCACCTCGAGTTTATCCCCAACTCTCGAAATAACACGATCATCCAATATTTTAAAAACCTCATCAAATGCCCGATTAATGGCAATGGGGAAGACCTGACATAAAGTTTGTTCCACTATCGCAGGCATCAACTCTTTCAGGCAATTTGAAACGCCTTCCTCCACCCATTGCTTGATGAGGTCTTTGTCCATTCCAGCCGGCTTTTTTTGAGGCTCCCTCGACTCCCTCTCCGTCTCTTTTTCAGCTTCCTCATATGCCTCTACAGCCAGCTTCTTCGAATGTCTGCTCATTGGCGGTCCAATCTTCCTTTTTTTGGTGGCGGGTCTATGACGTGAAGAAGAGGAGGCATCACCTAGTGGCTTACAACAACTCTGCCACGAGTCGTGGTGGATATATTGCAACCCCATTGATAAGTCCAAATAAACATTAGCCATATAAGGCGCATTCCTCTCGGCATCTGTCAGACACATTGGTCTACATTGAATCTATTAAGAAAATGCCAAACAAAAAAAAATGACAAAAAGAAGAATAAGAATAATTTCATAACAAGAATTATATAGCAATTTTAATGTAGAACATATATATTTACCTCGGGCTTATCAATGTCAGACAACTGAAGAAAATTTTTCTTCGGGCAAATCCACCGAGTGCCTCTCGTAGACCATGTCCGTTGCACACCATTCCACCTCCTCGTACAAACTCGGGCATCATCTCACAAGCCCATATCTATTTAGAAAAAAAAAATCGTAAATGGTCTTTTTAAACTAAATAACAAAAAATAATGAAACAATTGTAAAATTGTATATGTACCTGAAAAGGCAATTGAAAAACATGAATGTTCAACTGAACGTCACACCCCTCATCTGGTTACTTATATCATCGAGACAATGGTACAAACGCTGAAAGGAAAATGTGACCCAAGGAAATTTCCCGAACATGTCAAAATTTTCAACTAACATCCAAAGCCAAAGTGGCATAGCGGACCTCAGGTCGGGTGCAAAGAAGAAATAGTGAACAATTAAGATCATGGAAACCTTCAGCACGTCATCGGGATTATTCTGAAAATGACCGTTCGTGAAATCCCTCAGCAGATCACCTTCTATCACACTCTTGCCGTCATAGTGGCGTCGATATACCCCATCAATGGCCGGTAAACTCTCATTCTCCTCGGGGATGAATTCCAACCCACCAAACATCAAGCCACTGATTTGGCAAAATTCGACTTTCCCGAATTTATAATGACTACCTCCAGTTCAAAACCAATGCTCCTTCTCTCGAGTGTCACGGAGAAAAACCTCTCGACCAAGTAAGGCAAGTAGTAGTCTCCCACTGTAGTACGCTTGCCCATCGAACCTCAAGAAATGTCCAAAACAAGATTGTTCAAACTCCCGAAGACGGCCACAAGCACCTAATTGACTCTTAATATAGCCTATTACTTTAGGCTTCGTCTGACAATTGATTATGCCGCTCCAAGTGTAACCTTTATCCCATCTCCAACGCCAACAGTCCCCTTAACAATCATGAAATAATCAATATTATTTTAATTTTTTTAAAAACACAATATTAAAAAAATAGGTTAAAAGCCAGTTTCTTGTACAAAAAACAGGTTTCTTGATAAGAAACATGTTTCTTGCTCAAGAGACAGGTTTCTTGAGCAAGAAACAGGCTTCTTGTCAAGAAACATGGTCATGTTTCTTGACAAGAAACATGTTTATTTTCAAGAAACATGCTTCTTGACAAGAAACATGCTTCTTGACAAGAAACAGGTTTCTTGCTCAAGAAACCTGTTCTTGTGAAGAAGCCTGTTTCTTGTCAAGAACACGGAAGTTAAACTACAAACTCTTTCTTGAGTAAACAATATATACTCATTAGAAACTCATTAGTTTGTTGAACAAAAAAACTGAAGTTTTTCCACCTAAACTACAAAATTTATTTTTGAGCAAAAAAACATCATACCTCATTAGCGGTTGTCATCTCGTCGTGTTCCAAGAATAGCGCCTCAAAGAGGTAAGAGGTTTGTATGAAGATCTTTTTTCAAATTAAGAAAATGAAGGAATGCATCAATTTACATTTAAAGATGACTACTTCTTCACGATATATCAAATTAGTAGCAATAGCCCAATTAACTCAAAACTGAAGACATAAATAGGGTGGCATACAGCTCTACGCATACTTGCCACTACCTGCAACTCAATGACCAACATCCTCAACAAAGTTTTCAAATCAAGATAGATTATCTTCTCAAATAATACTATCCACATCAAGACAATATTAATAAGCAAGTAAAACAACCACAATCTTATTGTAGAAACCGATAATATTCAGAACAATTTAGCAGCACATATGCCACCCGTAAAATGAAAGATCTTACACTAACAAGTGCATGCTCAATTTACATTTTTACAAAAATGAGAATTGACAAAAAATATCCTAAAAAGGGTACATTTAAGAATGAACACTACACTCAAAAAGTCTCATTTACAGCCATTCCAAAAACAAGAAACTCTCTAACCATCAAACATGATTCACAACACAAAGAGAAGATAACTTGCAAACCTTAACAACAAAAATAAGGTTTGTTCAATTTCTCTCTCACACCATCACTCACAAAATCATCTAAATGCTTAAGCTTTGTTCAATTTCCCATAATCTTTGTCCATTCAAAACACAACAACAAAAACTCATATTTTTTACCATTAAGATCCAATAACACATAATTTAAAACATATCCATCCCATTCCTTGAAGAGTTTCAGATGAATTAGGTCTCAGGCGAGGAAAATAGTGAGTAAAAGAACTACAACATGGTACAGTTGAACCTTTGGTTTAATGCATAATAGTGCAACTGCAAACTAGAAATTAGGTAAATCAATATATGTTGAAAAATAGGTTAAATCCACTAGTCAAAAGTTATGCTTCTACAGTCAGGGCAACACATTAAGCCTATTTTGTTCAGAATCTGGAGATTTTCTTATACACATATACGCTTGAGATAAAAACATACCAAAACCATCCGAGAAGCACAATATTTTCCAAATGGGTTGTTAACTATAGATCAATCGTAAGTATAATCTTGTTATATAACTTCTCCGAACCCCAAATTTCAAGGCCAGCTACCAAACCATCTCTACTGGTTGCAACTAAACTCTCATAGCCTACACTCAAATACTTCAATAGCAGAATCCCAAAATTACAGCAAACACATATAATCAAACACTTGAATAGCAGAATACCATCATAAGTCATAACACAAACACAAACATAAAAACAACATAAATCATCAACGGAAAAAGAAAACAAAAGGATTCTTAAAACACATTTTAACTAAAAAAAACCCTAAAAATCGCCTAAAAAACCCAAAAAAAAATTTAACAAAACGCACCTTGGATAGCCGGAGAAGAACTCAAAATACACATTTAAACTAAAAACCCTTAAAAGAAAATAATAAAAAAAAACGCACCTTGAATCGCCGGAGAAGAGAGCTGCGGCTCTGTGGACGAGAAAAGAACTCGTTGAAAGCGAGCGAGAAGCTCAATGGACCGTGACTCGCCGGAATCGAGCACGAGAATCGCTGATAATTTCTTTTTCAAATTTTTGAGGGGAGAAAAATGAAAATGAAAGGGGAAAGGGGCGGGCGGATGAAAAAGTGAATAAAATGGAAATGAAACAGGGAAAAAAAAATGAAAAATGTGTCCAAGGGCAATTAGGTACATTTACAAGCCAAAATGGCTAGATTTCATCTTTTCTAGAAACAAGGCTAGATTTCATCTTTTGTTTTGTTTAAGTGCTATAAAGCACCATTATCACAAAAATAAATAGAGGGAATATTATTAAATGAAATGACAAAATTATCCTTAGTAAAATGAGAGAAAGAATACTACAAAAATTGAATTAAGGGTAAAAATTCAGGGGCGGATTGACACTTGGGCCAGCCTGGGCAACTGCCCAGGCTGGATTTTTGATGCTAAACATATATAGTTATAATTTTCAAATAAATATTTAGTAAGAAAAGGCAAAGTCGGAGAACTTACAAGACATAATAGAAACAATTTTAAGTTTTTTTAATAATCTATATAAAATGAAGCTGAACATTATCTCTATGTTCTCTTCTATAATTAAATTTATTGAAATGATATTTGATGATGAGGCTATTGCTGATCAAAGATGATAATGTAATTTATTGCTTGTGCAGATACAGTCCTTTGATTTCATATTTTGTCTTCTTTTAATGAGACAATTTTTAGATGTAACAAATAAGTTATCACTAGAATTATAAGAGGATGATATTGTCAATGATATAGATTTGGTTAGGGCAAGTAAGGCGTGCTTGTTTATAAAAAACTAGAAAAAAACTGTATTTTTTTTTTGTTAACTAGAGTTTATTTAAAAAAAATTAGTATGGTTAGTTTTTAGTTAGAATTTAAGAATATATTAAAGTAATATTTAAAATAAAATGATTAAAATTGATTTGATGTAAAAATAGGAGATAAATGATTGAAAATGATAGGTAGTTAAAATTATATGAGTGGATGAATAGTGAATTAAAGTTGATGTAATGTGTATGAATCATTGAATGATATTATTTAATTATATTGATAATATTGATTGATAATGGAATTGAGTTAAAGTTGAGTTAAATTTTGAATTGAGATATATTTTTTTAGTTGTTTTCTAGAAATTTGATAAACAAGCATGGCCTAAACAACTCCAAAAAATGAGAGAATAAGAATTTGAGAAAAATTCTTGCAGGAAAATTCATATGTAATAAGCACGGTAAAAAATTTGTGAAAAATTCTTGCAGAAGGAAGAAAACCTAACAGATACCGACAATTCATCAGTCGCAGGGCTGTCGATAGAGCTGCTCGGAGTCGGAGCTCTGCCAGCCATGGTGAGCACAAAATCAGGCACATTACACACACTCCAATTTCTATAGCTAAATCAATCCAATAATTCATTATTAATGTGTTGCACACAGGATTACCTTAAAACCATTGTACCATCTCAATTCTTCGCCGAGCGCGGCTCTAACGTCGTTGTTATCAACCCAGGTCTTGCTATTCTCATGAAAATCTTTTATTTGTGGACACTGCTAGGGTTTTGAGTCATGCAACTTTTTTTTTCCCGCGTTTCAACATCGGTTTTGTTTTTGGTTGCTTCTTTAAATTTAGGTTCAGCAAATGTAAGAATAGGACTAGCAAAGCATGATGCTCCTATTAGTGTGCCGCATTGCATTGCTAGACGAACATCTCAAGTTCCCAAAAGGAATGTTCAGGACCAGGTTACTGTTTTTTTCTTTTTCTGAAACAATTTTTGGTAGCAAAGTTTTGTTTCTGTTGATAATTTTTCTGTTTTCTCTTACCTTTTATCTTTTCTTTTGTATTCTTTTCTTTGGTGCAGTTGCTCAATTCTCAGGTTACCACAGTGCAGCATATGGAGCGGGAAAGGGCTTATGACATTGTTAGTTGTTTAACTTGAAAATCGATGATGCACTTTGTTATTTTTCTAGTTCATTAACTTTGAGTTATGTTTTGTACTTTTTCGTTTCGTGTCATAGTTTAGTGTTTACTAATTTATTTCTTCAATCTTCAGATCGCGTCATTGTTGAAAATTCGGTTTTTAGATGAGGAGATGGTAAACAATCAGTATCCCCCAAAGGTAATCTTTTCAAATTGTGTGAAGGGGAGAACTCTATTGAATTTGGAATACCAAGTTAATCCCATTTGAAGGTTCAAATTACTTGAATGTGATAATAGTGTGCAGCTACATTTTCTTTTTTGGCAGATGGCTCGTGTAGATGTGTTTCCTCCTCAAAGTAATACCAAAAAAGATTCAGTTATTCCATGGACTGATGTGTTTGAGAAACGTGCATCTTCATCTTCCGAAGCAGGTATATAGGATCTTGAGGTCCTTTACTTCTTTATAGCTGTACAAAGTCCTGCATGTGTATTAGCAAACACGATCATCCGGTTTTAGTGCTAATTATTTTTTTTTCCAGAGTAAGTATCCAAAATATTTCAATTTAATTAGAGAATTATGAAAACTGAACTCGTTCATATTATTTTTTCTTTACATCCATTAACAATTAATGGGAACCTCCACATAACTGCTTCTAAGTGAATGTCTATGGTGTGATATGTTTATTTTTGTGAGGAAGTCCAACAATAATCTATTAGCAACACCTTAGTCGTCTTCGACCTTGTTATTTATAATAGCAAAGGCATGAATCAATATAACAATTTCTTGATTTACTATGTCTTTCATTTATGACTTTCGGCACGAATAACTGTGTTTTTACAGGAAGTTCACTGAGAACTGAAGAGACTTCAGTTGACAAAGAAGGTACTGTCAATGAGGGGGAAACCAATTCAACTGAGCCTAAATACAGAGAGTTTATTTTTGGTGAAGAAGCTTTGAGAATATCTCCTACTGAACCTTATTCCTTGCGTCGGCCTATTCGCAGGGGACATCTCAATATCTCTATGCATTATCCCATGCAGCAGGTACGATATATGTTTAATTTTCTTTTCTGCAAAGCCTGTAAATTTAATATCACTATAAAGCCCTCTCATTTCTGCAATTGACTGATTTTTGGAGGAAGGATTGGTTACATGGTTTGTTCAGGGTTTTTAGATCTCCTTTTCAGTTCACTTGGCTTTATTAGATTTGTAAATTTTAGCCGTTGGAGTATTTCATATCATTCTCTTATAAATGTCTAAGACTGCATGCTCAAGAAATGCTTCTATTTGTGTTTGCATAGTATTTCGAATATATTAAATGCAAAGAGCATCCACCGTACTCTCTCTCTCTCTCTCTCTCTCTCCAGGTAATCGAAGACATTCATGCTATATGGGATTGGATTTTGACTGAAAAGCTACACTTACCTCAAAATGAAAGGCATATGTATTCTGCTGTCCTTGTTGTTCCTGAGACCTTTGATAACCGCGGTAAATATGGCTTTGATAATGTTTGTCTGACTATTCAGCTCATTGATTTTTTCTTGTTTACTTTGCAGTTGTTACATAAACCAAATGATTTGCTTGTTTCTCAGTTTCATTTTTTTTGTTTCTTTTATATTTATCATCTCCCAAAATTAAAAGAAATATGTAACAGTAAATGAAAATTATGACTGGTCTAAATTCCGTACTAGGCATTTGTTTATTCGAATCTTAATATATGTTTAGGGTCTTTCTTTTTCTATTTGATATGATTGATCTCACTTTTTGTTTGTTGATTATTTATATGGTTACTAACCTGCGTTTTACTGTCCAGGCTGATATTTGCTTAAAAATTATGTGAGCTGACATGTTGGCTGTTTCCTGCTTCACAGAAATAAAGGAACTTCTGTCCATTGTACTCAGAGACTTGCATTTCAGCTTAGCAGTAGTCCACCAGGTAATACTTTGGTTAATACAACAACTTTTGGTAACACTTCTTAAATTTGAGGCTTATTCATCAGCTGTTGCCAATGGTGCTTGTAAATATTGCAGGATTAAATCTTTGGCTTGAACTCTTAGTATCTTTTTCATATATATTATTTAGTAGTGATGTACATTCTGCTGATCCAGTTTACGTTTTTTTTTTTCCTTTCATAAGAACATTCTCTCTTGGGTTAATGCTTCTTTTTCTTGCACATTGTTCAGGAAGGCCTTGCTGCAGTCTTTGGAAATGGTCTATCAACGGCATGTGTTGTGAATATCGGTGCTCAAGTGACGACGGTAATCTGTATTGAGGTATGTTCTTATTTACATTCGTATGTTTTGTTTTTTCTGTTAAAATATATGTTGTGTTTTCCTGTCCATGCTTCAAACTCCAAATAAAAAAAAGGTAGTAATAAATTTATGCTATTGATTGGTTTGGCATCTTGATTACGTATGTGCTGCCACCAAACTCAAATGGTGGTTTTGTTATCAATTATCATCGCCAAATTCAAACTACTGGTGACTATTACGCTATTCACATATTCATCACTATCATACAGGAATTGTGTTAAAAAATCGCAGTACCTTTTGAGGATCAAAGTGAATTAACAAATTTGATAGTGATATTTTATGTTTTTTCTGTATATTTGTTGTGACTTCATGTTAATGGTTTGCTTTTCCTTTTTGTGTATTTTCTCAAAATGGAAACTAAAAAAGCATGCTTATCTCGATTATAATTACGTGATATGTCGGTCAATCCTGAATGTCTTTTGTTGATGTCTAGGATGGAGTGACTCTACCTACAACTCAGATTAATCTACGGTACGGCGGAGAGGTAAGAGCTAGGTTGCTGGTTTTTAACTATTAATTTTATTGCAAAAGAGTGCTGTAAAGGAAAAGCCTCTCTGAAAGTATTTCTGCATATGCAGGTGTGATTACATCCTGTTATTTTGTGTGTGCCTGATATTTCTTCTCTAAACGAGGATAACTTCTTTCATGATTTTTTTGTGCATATTTCTACCTTTCTCCATTTTTCAATTGGTCTTCATTCAATGTTCAATTGCATTGACGTTCTTGATAATTCAAGTCTTTAGAAGAATATACTTACATGAGATCCATTAGCTGGTGATCAGGTCTATTATTATTATTATTATTACAAGTGCGCGATCCTGTGCACATGCACCTATAAGTATTATAAGTCATATGTATGCATATAATATTAAAATTTTAAGTTACACAATAATAATATTTTAAAAAATTGATCCTAGTAAGTAAACAATATAAAACTATTTAACTAACTAATTTTATAATTTTTAGCGATCATTACCAATTAATTAACTGAAAAAATATTAAAATTATTATTCGAGCAATTGTTAATGCAATTTTTACGGGGTTTGGCTATGCCATTAAAATCAATTATTTTTTTAACAATTGCTTAATGAAATGAAAAAAAAATTGATTTTGCAATAAATAACTTGAAGAAAATTTTTGCTATATAATTTTTTATGATTATGTAACTTTCATATATCATTTAGTGTGAAACATTATTAGTTAGTTTTAATAGTTGTAACTATTTGTATGATATAATAATTAAAAAAATATGATTTTTACTTGATCAATGTAAAATGCAATAGTTTGTTACCATAAACAACCTAAAAAAGAGCGGGAAATGAAAAATTTAGCACTAATGGGATAGCCCTATATATATATATATAGGTTATAAAACTGTTATAATTATTATTATTATTATTTTTTATTTTTATTGTTGTTGTTCTTACTTGATTTTTGTTGTCTTGTCCCATCTTTAAATGACCAAGTTGTTACAACTTCATGGTCTGGTTATTCTTATTATAATGCAGTGTGCTTTGTCCATGAATAATTTAAGTACTGTTTCAGGATATATCGAGATGTCTTCTTTGGACACAAAGACATCATCAGACATGGCCACCTATCCGTACTGATGCTCTTACAAAGCCCATGGATTTGTTAATGTTGAATAGACTTAAAGAATCTCACTGCCAGATTAGAGTGAGTTCATCAATTTTTTCATGTTTTTTTTATAAGATATTAATAGATTGCCTAACATGGTATGCAATTCTATATCATTTTTGTTCTAGTTGTCTTGAATTTATGTGGAAAGATATTAGTAACTGAAGATATCTTATTCTAAACCTAGTCATGACCCATTCTACACAATGCGAGTTTTATATATGCTACCATTGTTTCAGCATATGGAATTGCAATTTTGTAGTGCTGAGAAGATATCTAATTTATTTAGTTATCTAATTTATTTAGTTATGCGAGTTCATCAATCTTTTGCTCTTTTCTCTTTTTGTTCCAACCTCTTCCTTTTGTTTCGAGCCATTTTTGTGTTTCTCTTACAATTCTTTCTCTTGGGTTTCATCTCTAGCCTACCCCGACTTGCTTAGGACTAAAGACTATGTTGTTGTGTTGTATGCTGTTTATCTAAGAATTTTTTTAAGGCTTACATTTTTTTTTTTAAATGGGATTTTTAGAATTTGCTTTCGCTGAAAAAAATGTATATCACATGTTCTTTTTTCAGGAAGGTGATGTTGAAGCAGGTTCTGTAGTTCATTCGTATGAAGATGACATGCCACCCGGGTCACACAAGACAAGGCTTACTGCGCTTAATGTATGCATTGGAAAATGATAAATTGATAGTTTTCATTTTGAATCATCTTCAATTTGATGTTTCTCTTACCATTGGTTCTCTTGGGTTTCATCTCTAGCCTACTCCAACTTGCTTGGGACTAAAAGCCTATGTTGTTGTTGTTGTTTGTTAGAGTTATATATACAGATTCAGGGGAAGAGGGTGCGGTCTTATAGAGGTGAAACGCACCATAAGAGGGTGACTCTAGTTGCACATTAGTGAGGTTCCATTCCAAAACCGATTGGTCATGGGAGGAGTAGCCCACTAGCTTACAAATATAGTCCATTTATCCTATAGAATCAATGTGCGACAACTCACAAGTGATATTCTAACTCGCCCGTTCACTTGTGAGTCCTTCATATGCCAAAGCCACTCTGATACCATGTTAGAGTTATAGATTTGGGGTGAAGTGGGTGCTGCCCCTTAGAGGTTAAACGCACTATAAGAGGGTGAGTTTAGGTGCGCCCGAGTGATGTTTCATCCCAAACTAATTGGTGAAAGGAGTAGTAGCCCATAGGCTTATAAACTAGGCTCATTTACCCTATAGAATTAATGTGAGACAATAGTTGATATTCCAACAGTTTTTATCCTTCCCCTTTCCCCTTTCACCCCTCTGTTTTTGGTTTCTTCTCCTTTTTTGTTAGTCTAATTGAGTCACTTGATAAACTTTTCTTCCTCGCATCATGCTAATACGTTGCATTTATCTTGACTCACAATATTATGTGACGATATCTTGCTGGGATTAACATTGTAACCCTCAAAAGATCCTATTACTTATTTGATGATTCCATATTGGTACACAGGTTCCCCCTATGGGTTTGTTCTACCCAATGCTTTTGGTTCCTGATGTTTATCCTCCGCCACCTCGCACCTGGTGAGTTATAAACCTTTGGTTTTCCAGGTTTGTGTTTATTGGACCAATTCTTTTAGGTATAACTACAAACCTACCCTTGAGGTTTGGCCAAATTCCAAGAAAACCCAACATTGAAAATTACATAAACCATCCATACGCTAGGTGGTCCAAGCGTCCATTTGTAACAATACACTTTATACGGACACACAAAACTTATGTAAAAAATTTGGTATTTATTGAATCAAAGTACAATCTCTATATTTGCGGATTTGGACATTCGAAGGTGAACTCAACGATTGGATCTACTTCTGCTTGAGTTTGAATTAGCTTATGATAATTCGAGTGTCAAATGACTTATCTCCAAATTGCATGCGAGAACTTGATTTACCAGATAGGGCTTTTGCGGACTTGATTTACCAGAGGGCTTTTCTGCAGACTTTGTTATTCGATCTTCACTTCCGGACTCTTCTTCACTTCTTGGAGTTGAACTTCCACATCTTTTTCCTCTTAGTTTTCTTCTCCATTGAATTTCGTGTATCTACGTAACTTGGAGGCTCTTGAACACTCATCAAGAACTATTGCAGTAGGATAATGGTTAGGAGGATTTGCATAAGCATTTTGATTTTCGGGAAGTATCATCATCATGACAGCCTCTACTCTTGTCTTAGCTCGCCGGCCTTCGGTCTCCAAAACCCAAATGTTGTAGATGACGAGAATTAAAGAACCGAGTTAGCAGAGGGAACATATTGTACAACTCTAACTTTGATTATTTCGTGATAATTTCTGTACTCCTTAAGTACAAGTCTAACTTGATTATTTCATGATAATTGTTGTACTCCTTTAAATCTTTAAGAAACATATCCTACATTGAATGTTACTACATATTAACAAGCACCCAGATGAAGTTTGGACTATTCAGAATATTGTGGAAAGGCATTTAATTGTAAAATGGTTTATGAAATCAGCAAATTATTCACGCCAGCTAAGATTTGCGCCAAACTGTAAAGATAGAATCAAAACTTTAAATGGGTTTGGTACTTTTTCTTCTTAATTTTTTTTTTAATTTTTATTTTGTGATTTCCGAAGACAACCGTGGTTCTGTAAGACCGAATCAAGCCTTATGGGTGGTTTTAGTAATTTTCAATGTTAATGGGGCTTTTTTAAGAATCTCAAATCCTAGGGGAGGTTTCATAAAAATTTCCTTTTTAAATCTCATGCATCCCCAGGTTCAGTGATAACGAGGATATGTTGGAAGATACTTGGGAATATCCAAGAAGACCAGACATGTCAGATGGTTACTTCCCTTCTAGTGGTGGATATTTCCCTATGTGGGAAAACTACCCTGTGTTCCACTCGAAGCCCAAAAAACAAGATATCATTGGTCTTGCAGATGCTATTACAAAAAGCATTCTTTCCACAGGTATTTCACGTTCATTTTGTGCTGAGATGTTGTACATTGAATTTACTTCCATTTAACTTATCTGTGGCTTTGAATAAAATTTCAGGGCGTATAGACCTGCAGAGAAAGTTGTTCTGTAGCATGCAGCTGGTAAATATTAGCCCACAGTGCACCAAAGCCTTTTTTTTTTTTTTTTTTTTTTTNCGAAAGTTTAGTGTTATACATGATTCTGTTTTTCAGATAGGCGGAGTGGCTTTAACCGAGGGTCTCGTTTCTGCTGTGGAAGAAAGGTTTGTTACATTCAAATATTTAAAATGACGATTTGCTCTATTGTTGCTTTACTAAAAAAGTGTAAGGTGCATGAAAGAAAAATATTGCATGCAACCTCAAGTTCTTTCATTTTCGGTTTCCAATGTCTTTCAGGTCGATCTTTTCAAGCAGCACAATCAATTATTGAGATAATTGTTGAATTGCCCCTGAGGTTTATAAGCGTAAATATAAAAGGATTTGTCATCTTTCGAAATTAGCGATACCCCTAAAAGTGCCATAGGCATCCAATTTGGTTTTGTATTTGCCTAACAAATGCACCCCTCTTGAGGACCTGGATTGCAATTACTAAATGATAAACAAATGTCGAAGGGGTGCTCATAATTCTGAAACTATTTTTTTTTTTTTGTGCAATTACACTAAAACGTGGAAAATTTTGTGAATCAACCTTATTGTGTGAATTGCATAAACTTATTATCTTCTTTACCCAATGTTTTTCTCTTGCAGGGTATTGCATGCTATTCCTTCTCATGAAGCCATTGATACAGTGGAGGTCAGTTTTATTATTTTGTTACATAAATTTAAGCTATTTTACAATAAGTGCATTCCCAATTTATGTAAATGTGAGGAATATTTTGGACTATTAACTGTTCAATTTTTTGCACGACATAATCTCTGCAAGCTTCAAATATCATTGCTGATGTCATTTATTATTGACCGATTGTTGAAAAAGAGAGTAATGCCTAACATTTTAAACTTGTCACAATGCAGGTTTTGCAATCTAGAACAAATTCAGCCTTTGTATCATGGAAAGGTGGAGCGGTGAGTGTTTTATCGTGAAATAAAAAAATATCTCAATTGTGCGAGAACAGCAGATATCTTTATGACTTTATCACACTCGGTGCTCGCTTCTAGTTTTGTGCCGTACATTGAAATATGGGATATGGAATATTAACGACAACATTATGTATAAGTTATATTGGTCTAATTAAATTTGAGTTGGATAATAAGAATTTGATGGCTAATGTAAACTTCCGGCTCGTTGACAATTAATTACTGAAATGGCTTCATTACTTTGTCAAATGTTGATGCAGATATTAGCTATTCTTGATTATACACGAGATGCGTGGATACACCGTGAGGACTGGATCAAGAATGGGATTCATATTGGAAGTGGCCGAAAGTACAAGGATTCGTATTTTCTTCAAGCACAAACTATGTGTTACATTAATTCCTAACTGGATTGTAATATGTTGTACATCACCTGTATGATAGTTATTTTTGTTTACTGTTTACAAAGATTCTTCCCGGTTTTTGCTTGTTTTATTTTTGTGAGCAGATTTTTATTTTTTAAGGTAATTTCTAGTTCAGATAGCTGTAGCTTTGTATGCCTGTGTCTGTGTAAAGTGACCTCTCATAACTGGTCTATTCATGTTTGAGGTGCTTTTCATTGTTCTTTCTTTTCTCCTCATCTGGATGCTGGCAATGTGCAATTAATTTCTTCCATACTTCAATGATGATCATGTTTGATAAAAATCATTGAAAGCTTTAAACGCCGAAGGGCCGTGTTTTTTATTTTTTGGTATGCATAAATTTGTTTGGACTTTAAAATAGTTCAATAAAAAGACATTTTCCTATGTAGACGTCAAGTTGAATTATGCAAAGGCCAAGTAAATTTGTTTGAATGTCCAAAGGCAAAGTATATGTAGACGTCAAGTTGATATTATTAGAGAGAAAAAACAAATCATTTCTAAAAGAGGAAATTACACCATCCACCAAATCTTAACATTTTTATTGCATAATTACAACTCATATATATTTATTTGTAAATTAACTAAAACTATCATATTTATTTACAAACATACTAAATTATTGAAATATGGTAAAAGCAGATTTAGTGGGATCTATAATTATCACACGCTTTTTCTCTCTCCCTCTCTCTCTATTCGTCTTCTTCTTCTCTCTCCCTCTCATCTCCTTCTTCTTCTACAATTTGCCCAAATTTCAGAATCCCTCTTCTTCCTCATTTATCGATTTCGCTCAAAATCTCAGAAAACCCTTCGCACCAATTAATTGATCGATCTCATCAGAATTTTAGAGAAAAGATTTTCTCAACCCTCTTCGTCAATCCACCATAGCCGCGCGACGTCTTCATCAGATTCTTGTCCGATCAACCATGGCCATAGCCGTGAAGCCGCGAGTTCCGACCGCCGTGCAGCAAGGGAGAACCAGTGGTCCCAAACAACAACTAACTCCTTCTCCCTCGGGCGACGTTCGATCAAGTCTGAAGCCAAGAGACGAGCCGTCACCAACGAGTCTCCACCGCCGCGCGACTCCTTCCGGCGAGCAGCAGATCCCGTCAATTCGTCCGTCGTGCCTGAGGTCTCGTCACCCTTCGTCGACCATCCCGCACCAGCGAGCGAACAGACCCCTCGTCACCGGCATCAAATCAATATATACTAAATATATTGACGAGCAACAGCGGGCATCAATGTATGTTCGTTTCATGCCGGTGATGTCAAACAATATATGTTGTGTGTATATGGAGTATATGTTCAATATATGTTGTATATATAAGCAGTATATACTAAATATATACTAAATATAAACTCAATATATATTGTCCATTGATGTGTATTTTCTTTTATGTCCTATGTATACAATGAGTATATCTTCTGTATATGTTCATGTTATTTAGTATATGTTTCGTTTATAATTAGTGAATACATCATATGTATATGTTGAGTATATAAACTGATACATTGTCCATAAATTTCGTTTTTACTAATTAGTGATACACTTTTCAATCTTTATATACTGTATACACTTTCAACAAAGTTTTTTTAACTAAAATTGACTAACTTTGTCTAAATTTTCTTGTCAATCTCCAAAATTTTTAACCAAGCATCAGTGTTCAACGGATGGTTGCTTTCATTTCTAATTTTCATAACTTAATTACAGAATCCCAATTTCGTAGGTCATTGGTAGAATTATGCTAGCATATATTATTCATTCATGTTATTTATTACTAGTGTACTTTTTTTTTGGGGGTACAATATTACTAGTGTACTTTAAGAAAGCAGTATGCCCTCCCAAGCATTCTATATCTCACTTTTCATAATTCTAGTGCTCGTGCCATACGTTTATAATAAATAAAATAAAGCAAGTTTAATAATTTATAATTTTAACACCTTATTACACAATAGAGAATTAAAATTGTACATAAAAATTTTGAAACAAAAAATTAATAAATGATATATCAAACAAAATATGAATATAATAATTATAATTAATGTCATCATGTGAAAAATAATAGAAGTTGCATTATTAATTTGAAAACTTATTTTCCTATATTATTAAAGATTTGCTATCATGGTTTGTATACTTAATTATTCTGTACTAATATCTATTGTATTGTTACAATTTTGTTGACATGTGTTACTGGATTTTATTATGTCCTTATATCTGTAATATGAATATATAAAAGAAATCCAACACATATTCTGATTAAACAAATTTTAAATCAACAGGGAGTATTAAAGAGGTCGAAAGAAGCCTGCTGAAAGATGTCAAATCAAGAATATAGATAAAATTTTAAAAAAAAAAGTTATATTCATCTAACTTTTACTTTTTATTGACTATATTTTCGACACCTAGCAAAAGAAAATAGGAGTGATTGTTTATGGATTCAACTAGTTTTTATTTGGTTTGTTTTTAATTATAGTTAATTTTGGAAAAAAAAAGGTATGGTTAGTTGTTAGTGGATATATTAAAATAATTTTTAAATAAAATAATTAAAGTTGATTGGATGTAAAGTAGGAGAAAAATAATTGGAAGTGATGGTTAGTTAAAATTATGTGAGTGGATGAATAGTGAATTATAGTTGATTTGATGTGTAAGAATGATTGGTTGATATTATTTAATTATATTGGTAATATTGAAGATAGTGAGGTTGAGTTAAAGTTGAATTAAATTTTAGTTTTGATTGGTTTTTTTTACTATTCAATTTATATCCAATCGCCTCCTTAGTTCTTATGTATTGTCCAGTAAAATACCTTAAAAAAGAAAAAAAAATGATTGGGAAGATTTAAAAAAAAAATGTATTTTACCTCAAAGTACCTTCAAGATATTCATATTGGGCTTTGTTCAAATCTGTTAAAATATGTTTATAAAATAGTCATTTAAGTGGGGAATGTTATAAAATAATAATAGACAAAAATAGGTGTACCAAACATTTGGTACACCAAAAATTAATTTTTATTATATAAAATAATATATATGAATAATTATTTTGCCCTCGATCTATTTATATTATTACAATTGTACCATCAAAATTTTTCTTATAATAAGAACTTTAATTATAATGAAAATTGTATCAAGAAAATACATTCTCTTTATTTGCTCCACTCTCTCAGTAGTTTTATAACATATATGACATGTCTATTAATCAATTGNACTATTAATCAATTGTGTTTCATGTAAGAACGCTGCTTATTAATTTCGATGGAAGGCTCATAAATGATAATAAGCTTAAAGAAAATCCATATTCTCCCATTTGTTAAAAAGAAATCTTTATTTTGGTCAAAAATTGAGGGCAGGCCATACCTCAACATGGGAATAAAAAAAGTGGGAATTCATCAAAATATGGGTTAGATACAAAGTATACTTTGATCATGTCTCTGAGTCTTCTCAAGTTGGTCTATTTTAAAGTCAAATTAATTACATCAATAATGTTCAAAGAATGAATTCCTGTATCTAATCATGGTGCAAAATAATTGATTTAATTCCTTATTGCCAAAGCATTATGTCTATCTAATATAATTTGATTTTTCATTTCATTATGATTATTATTTTTTTTGGTTACGGACATCGTTTAACATATATTGAAAGAATTAATATATGCGTTCTCTTAATTACCTGTTACATTCTTTCTATTAGCGTTTTACTGGAAATCAACAAGCTTATATAACTTTTGAATTAGTATATCAAGGGATTTTGGAGATTTTATTTCAGCTCTTGTATTTTATTTGCTAATCTTATTTTTCAAAGGACTTATATTATAAGATGCAAAATAAACTCTTTTGAGATCTTATAAGCTCTTTTCTTAAGGGGGAAAAAAAGAAGAAGAAGAAATACCTTACCCTTCATTTTCTTTCCAACATTTTATAAGTTATTCCATTTGTTATCATTTAAGATATCTTATAAATCCAAACATTATTTTATTATAAATATTTCAATTGATAAATTCTTAAATAAGATGTAACAACTTATCAATTTTAAAAATTCTTTAAAGATACCATAACTTTTAAGATATTTTATTAATTAAGCATAAACAGACACCCTCATGAAAGTTGACTCATCCCAGCAAATGGATACACGAAATTATGGTTTTTTGACACTGGACATCAAATTAAACTCAAAGGAAAAATACAGACATGAATGAAACGTAAATTACAAAAAGGAGATGCATCACTAAACCTCGTCAAACTTAATAATTTTCAGACAGACAGTCCCACCGACCAATTTCATGCAGCCAGCTATTCAAACACAAAGTGGAGATTGATTGACGGGTGGCTTGTTAAAGTTGGAAAAATAAACAAGATAAATTTGATTAAGGAAAGTGGCGAATATTCCAACAAATTCTAATAAGTTTAATCCTCATTATTTTAAATTGATCTTAGCAGCTCAAAATAATAACTGTAATTCAAGATTAAACAAAGAATGCCTTTATGTCATTATATGGGTTATATATAACCAAGTAGTATTAACTGATATTCTATAACTGATATGGGTTATATATTAACTAATGAAGATACAATTTCTTATTTTAATTTTTTTTTTTAAGAAAAAAACCTTATTTTCATTTCTCCATGCATGTTTTATGAAATTGAACATTCAAACGCCTTCATAAAACATGCAATAATAATAAAACATAAAAAAAAGATTGTAATATGTAATTAATTAAATACTACAATTTTAACCTCCAATAAAAAAAAATTATAAATTCAACCTCATTTCATACACAAAGAAAAAACTCTTACAGAGTTGATTGAAACATGTATGACTCTATTTGTTTGATCAACAAGTTCGATTAGCTATTTGAGAATCAGAAGCCCAGAGTCAACTTAGAGAAGGAGACCCAGTACTTTTCTTTCCTTACTTATTGACCTTGACGGCCTTACCTAGAGTGGCTTGTTTAAATATATAAGCAAGTCCAGATTGAATTTTGCCCAATTCAAACCTAAAATATGTTAACGGATAATTCGATTATAGTCGTGATCAAAACCGGTTACGGGTCGAAACTGCCGATCCCGGGCCGAGAGTTGGAGGGCCCCGAACTGGCGCGAACATATGTATGGGCCGGTTCATTGAACTGTCGGTTCTTGAACGTTTAGTTCATTAAAAAAATAAAAAATAATGACAAAATGATATTTCAAAAAAAAAAGGCGAACCTCCGGTTCCAGTTCCATTTCGGAACTGAAAATGCTGGTTCAAAATGTATAAACTATAAAGTATTGTACATGAACGTAACTGGTCAAAACCACGGGTCGGTTCATGACCCATGGTCAACGGGCCACAAGCTGGGTCGGCCCATGACCATGTCTACTCTGTTCCAATAATAGCTACAATAATATGCAATCCCGGGTTATAAAAGTTTCTGACTACGCCCCTGGATCTAAACATTTAAATTAAATGTTTCTAATAATTATTATTGTTATTTGTTATTACTATTATGAATTTTATGTGGGGGAATGGGTTTTAGAAGATAAGAGATAAGGGCCCAAGTTGTCTATTGCTGAATAAAAAATATAACGGTGCGTTCAAACACGTACTCAAATTCATGCATGCTAATTATAGTATTATACACGCATAGTTGCGCAAATATGGCTTTCACGATTCAATGTATGATATCAATAATATATGCATAAATAAAGTGAAAGTTACATATAAATAGAAAATTTAGATGAGCAGGCAGTTACAAAGAATTCCCTAGAGGTCAGCTTCCTTTCTAAACAACCAATTACGTTTGTATATGCTAAAGCATTCCTGTTTCATGAGCAGCAACAAACACATAATAAAACTAAGATGGTTTTCAAAGTTGTGCATATATATAGCTGGATTATTAATTCTGTTCGTGCGCAATCACCTGAGGTACCATATATTAATGCTCTTGTATTTATTCTTTTAAAAAAAAATTAAGAACAAATTAAAGGCCACATAATGACATAATTATTATTAAACATCAAGCACATGCTACCCGCCACATGCATGTGGGTGAGTGTGATTGCATATGGGCGACAAGCATGCAGTGTAAAAAAAAAAGAAATGATAATGAAAAAAACAGACTCTAGACAAGGAGTCCCAAAGCAAGATACAATAATTTTACTTGACATAAAAGGAATTATGATGCTATAACACCACCACACATTTTAGCCTGCTGTTTTCCATCTCAAAACTTAATCCTCAGGCAGCCTGTCAATACTCCAAAGACCAACACATCAAAAATAAACTCATCAATTTTGTAGCATATTAACTTCATCACCTCTTTGATCAATTTATTGCAAT